CCCCCCCAAGAATTCGCGGTTCAAAAAGGCTTTCTTGCCAACCCTCACCAAGCCCTCGGTGCTGCACTTCCAAGACTCCAAGCCAATTCCCGTTACCGGATTACCAGATTTGCTACCGGCAACCAAGTGATAATGCGTGAGTAGGAGGATTCTATCGTACCCTTTAGATTTTATCGCGTATTCCCCCGGGGAAACCTAACGGATGCATTGGCACCCTAGATCGACTCAACCGGGCCGCGAGCAATGTTGCAGATACGGAAGGATTGAATCCCTTTTGTCGACTACGTCAACACCGACGGAGAAAAGGACTCTCCCGGCTAAGAAACAAGTACTCTTTGCAGGATGCAACCGTAGATGGGCCGGATGCGGATGGAGAAAAGACAGCAACGGCAAGATCGCCCTCGGTAGTCGAGGAGAGCTTTGGTTCTCAGGCCACTACCGTCCTCGAGGGGCCCAATCGAGTGGATACCATAGCTCTGGAGGAAGGGCAACCACGGCCGGCAAACCCACATAGAATGTCTCATTATTCGGAAAAGGAGATGAAAGAACACAAAACCATCTGGGGACAGTTCAGGGCTGCGATGTTCAACAGTTGGATTAACGTGCTGCTCGTGTTTGCTCCCGTAGGAATTGCTACACATTATGCTGGGGTTGATCCGTGGGTACCCCTTTCCTTGCTAGCCAACGTCAAGAGTAATTGCTAACACGCGAGGGCATCTCAGGACAATTGTTTTTGTAATGAATTTCATTGCTATCATACCTTTAGCCGCTTTATTATCATACGGAACGGAAGAGATTGCATTGTATTGTGGTGATGTTTTGGGTGGTCTGCTGAATGCTAGTTTTGGGCAAGTTTTTTTTTCTTTCTTCCAATTTAGGGGTTGCAAACTCGGGGCTAATTATTCTGATAGTAATGCGGTGGAGCTCATTATCTCAATACTCGCACTGGTTAAAGGTGAGATAGTGATTGTCCAAACATCACTCATTGGAAGTATTCTCAGCAATCTGCTATTCGTTCTCGGCTTCGCTTTCATCGCGGGCGGTTACAATCGTATCGAACAAAACTTCAACACTACTGTTGCTCAAACCGCCAGCAGTCTTTTGGCCCTCTCGGTAGGCAGCTTGGTCGTACCCACCGCATTCCACATGGCTGGCCCTTCCGATAAGGGCATTACAGAACTTAGCCGTGGTACCGCCGTCATCCTACTGTTGGTTTATGCATCCTATCTTCTGTTTCAGCTGAAAACCCACAGCGATATTTACAACGAGCCCTCTGAGAAGTCACCCAAGCGAAACCATGTCGAGCCAATTGGAAAGTCACTCGTTAATGCGAGTGCCAGTGTCTCGCATGCAGTAGTTATGGGAAAGCCAAGACCAGAAAACCCGATTGAGGAAGAAAAGGAGGAACCAAGCCTCACCCTGTGGGCTGCTGTCATTTTGTTGGCTGTTAGCACGGCGCTTGTGGCGATCTGCGCCGAATGTTTGGTTGATTCAATCGATCATCTCGTCACAAGTGCAGGTATCAGTAGGGTCTTTGTTGGGCTAATTCTGCTCCCGATTGTGGGGAACGCGGCAGAGCATGCTACTGCTGTTACTGTGGCTGCAAAGGATAAAATGGATCTTTCGATCGGCGTCGCCATTGGATCTTCGATGCAAATTGCCCTTCTGGTTATTCCGTTTATTGTTGTGCTTGGCTGGATCATTGGAGAAGATGAGATGACGTTATACTTTGACGGGTTCCAAGTTATGATTCTGTTTGTATCGGTTCTGTTGGTGAACTATCTGATCCAGGTACTCATTCCGCCCTCTATTGGCCTTGAGCATATGGCTAATGGAGATTGTTTGTAGGATGGTAAATCGAATTATCTCGAGGGAAATTTGCTGCTTGCGCTATACGTGATTGTCGGGCATGTACCCCCGTGCTCTTCATATATTCTTGGGGGGTTCCCCAGCTAATTGTGAAAATAGTCTAGCATCTTTCTTCTACCCAGAGGAGGGGCCACTGGCGCAGGTTTCTGAATAGCATCATACTCCTTGACGCGTTTCCATTGTTTCTTCCCTCGAAGCCCTAATGTATATGTTTGATCGTTCGAGATAGGGTTATCGTATCTCCCGCCTATTGCCTGCCTATTTTGTAATCACACCGCGTCATAATTTCTTTATCCTGAGTCTTTGGCTTTCTCCTCATTTGGTGTAGAATATATCATAGTATATCACTCGAGAATTTCGTCGGAAGATCGGGTCTGGCGTAGCAATATGCAATGACTGCTGTTTATCGACCCTGTCTGAGCTCAGTATTCGCACACTGCCTTGTCTGGACACTCTCATTAATAGGACACCAAACAAAGATAACGCCATATATTGAATAGGGGGAGAAAGGGAAAAGGGACATAATAACCGGGGGAAGAAGAAGAAGCGCGATAGCACCCACTACCCCCGACTAGGACCTCAGTTCTGAACGGAACAAACAGCTCAAAGAAATCTACAGATACTTGCGACTAATCCTGTGCCGCTCGAGCTTGGTGCCGCTTGCAGGCTTTCGGGTTAAATTTCAATGGTGCAAATACCAAGGTATCATACTATAATATGTGCTCCATGTCCTCGGCCCGCAATCAAGCCATGAGCGGGGAGGTCGGCCGCGTCACATATACCGTCTAATACGGACTTCACAATCCGCAAATATCGTGTGCGGAGAACCGACACAATGCCCACGAATTCGATAGCATGGGTACAGACGGCTTGTCATGACACAATACCCATCAGTATGATCTAATGGAGGGTAGCTTGATGGAAAAATCCTTCAAACACCATAAAGCATAGGAGGACACGGTATGATACCTCTCCAGGTAATACCATCCCCGACCCAAACCATGCCATCTACAAGGATTCCTATGATAACAAACAACAGACACACTCAAGCACATGCTTTCACCCATCTTTGGGAATTACCCGGAACCCAATGGTGTTTTTCCCAGCAGAATTCTTGGTATCCTGAGCACAAGAGCCCGCCGGGAGGTGGACCACTTTTAAGCAAGAGCAGGCCACCACACAGAGAGGTTCTCTCTCTCTAGCTGTAAAGGAACTAAAACAATATTAAAATTGGCTCGATGTTTTGGTTCCCCCCCCCCACATTTTTTTTTTGCTCTCTTTTTAGTTTTCGAATTCTTCCCCAATCTCATGACGACGGCCCAAGAGTAAATTTTCCCGGGCAATAGCATAGTCTAATATCCGAGAGAGATTTTTCTGGCAAAAGCACGGTGTTTGAAAGGTTTACCTATTTGGTTTATGATCCATCAAAATGAGTGATGGACATTGTGTCATTTGCAGGCGGTGAGCACCGTAGCCATGCCATCGAATTCGCGGGCATTGGATCAGTTTGAATTTTCTGGGTCAGTTTTTAGTATACTTGTACATTGTCAACACTTTGACGTAGCGTAGCGTGACAAGCGCACCTTCTGGTTCGAATGGCAGCGTGTTTCACATGTATCCCATCGTACGATACAAACCATCGGGAAGCTGACACCGCTCTTGGATGTGGTATGGCAGTGCATCATACCATACTACTCGTACACTCACTTGCAGTACGGTATCTAGGGAATCGGGAACTACCGTAGTTCAAGGTGCCGTGTCATACTGTATCATACATTGGGTGAGGGATGCCTAAGAGTTCAAGCAGTCTGCCGTTGGCTCATCATCCATCATACAAGTACCTCCACCCCCGAGGCGGGTCAGGTTCTACAGTAGCACCCGTGCGCCATGGAATGAAGAAGAATTTCAGCATGCCTTGGAACACCCAGGGGGGTGGATACGGTATCTGTAGCCTATCGATAGGCAAGAGTACCGGTAGGTGGTTGGGTTGCATACGGTACTCTACGGCAACTACCGGTATATGGCGATTTTCTTGTTTGCTCCCATTTCCTCTTTTTTTCTCTTTTTCGCTATGATAATATTATGATACAATACGACGCAACCTGATATCGGCGTGGAGGACTGGTGTTTGGCGGCTGTCTCGGCTTCTTCTGTGAAACGGTGGCAATCCGGGCTGTACGATATCGTGCAATTTTGGTCTGGAGTGTGGTACCGGTAGGACTGACCGCAAGTGAGCGAGACGGGAAGCGGACACCCGTTTGTGAATGCACGGCTACCGGTACCGTGGAGACGCATTAGATTTGGTATCGGATTACCTTATTCCTGCAGATTGCGGCGCCGGCCCACGGTACTTGTAGGATTCGTTTGGCGAGTCGACGGAATCTGGAAGACGGGTTGGCGAGGTCCAAACACGGCACACCGTTTCAGGAGGGCATTAATCCTTCCAAAGAACTATCGTCTCCGAATCCCGAGAGAGATTAGCGAGATAACGGAGATAGCGAATCGCGAGAGCTTTTACGGCATAATAATATTATTATACCAAACATGTCGCCCAAAGAGAACCCAGGCATCCCGGGGGGGGGAAGATCAGGGCCTCCCCGCTTCCCCTTGCGGTGATGAATGGCCTGTTTATTCACTCGACACTTCTTGACCCTTCCGCTGGGGAATGTGCCCACGCGTTTTGCGAAATCATATTGATAGCGGCCGCTCGACCAAATGCGGGTACTCGCAACGAAGGAAACCCGCATGGTGCGAGTGAACTCACGATAATACTGCAGCAGATATAGTGGCAAGGTGGTCTTGAATTCTGGACCATGGACGCTTTGGATGTTGGTGGCGGGGTACGGTAAATCATGTTTCGCGGGAACGATGCGGGGCTCGGTGACGGGAGATTATCGAGACTGCAGATCGTCCGGATGGTCAAGGTACCGGTACCGTACCGGGGGGAGAAGAGAAGAAAAAAGGAACAAGACTAGGGGAGAAACGTTTTGTCATGAAAAGGAAAAAGCACTTGGAATTTTTAATGTCTTGGAGATAGTTCGTTTAGGGAGCTCAAGCCAAGGCGTGAAACACTGTCAATTGTGGTGCTCATTGTTGGATATGATTTAAAAATAAAATTAAAAATAGCAGATGCCTCTATGGCCAAGGGGTAAGGCGCAGCACTTGTATTTCCAACTGGATCGCAATGCTGAGATCATGAGTTCAAATCTCATTGGAGGCATTTCTTTTTTGTATACACTTTTTTTTTTTTTCACATTTATTGTTTTGCCCAGCCCTCACCAGTGCTTTCCCTGTTTGAGTCTTGGATCCGGGGAGCAGCTATGATAAGCGAACAAACAAACGAAACAAAACGAAACACGTGGGTCTTTTCTTCTCGACATATCAGGGATCATGGTTACTCGGTGCGCCGGTACCTGCATTTCCTCGCAATCTGCTATACAAGGTGCTGGTAGGACAGGATGGAATGGGCAGGGGTAGAAGGAGAGAAAAGGATCAAAATGAAAAGGGAAGAAGAAGAATAAGAGGAAGAAAGAAGGGAGGGGATAGAGAGAGAGAGAGAGAGGTTCTCTCTCATTAGCCTCACCTCACGCACGACGCAGGGGGGGCGAGGGGGAATTATGGGCAGGAAATTTTTGTCTTCTCTTCCCACACCCGCTGAGCCACCCGCTCACGCCTATGCTCGTAGAGAGCACCACTATTTGCGGAAATCCTAGGCTAAACTACAAGTAAGGTACAGTACAGTACCGGTACGCCCACTACCACCATCCACCGTACTTGTACTTGCACCGAGCAGTCTTCTCGGCGGCCTTACTGTACTGGTACTGCACTGTACAAGTACTGTACCACTTACCCTCTCGAGCGAAAGAGAGAAAAACAAAACAAAAAACACATCTCTGTGCGGTCCTCCGGGGGCCAGATTCCTTCCGGTGGGGCACGTCTTTTTTTTTATTTATAAATATTCTTCCCTTCTATTGCCCACTGTACGAGTGCGAGCCAGTGAGCTATGATACAAAGTACAGTGTGGTGAACATGGTTCTTTTGCTGGCGCCACGGGGTACAAGTGCAGTACAAGTACCAAATGTATCAGTGGTTTGCACGGTACCGGTACTTGGTTATGAGGTCCCAGCACAGCCCTATAAGAATTGCGTACAGTGCTGTACAGTACCGTACGTGCCGGGGTCGCAACTCGGTTTTAGTGACTTGTGCATGCTGTACGAGTACTCGAGTACGGTACCGGTACTGTATGTGCGCTTTTTTTTACTCTTTCCCTCCCTCTTTCGAAAAAGGAATTATCTACCCTACCCTACCGCAGCGGCGGCGCTGGTGTGTACTCGAGTATCGTACGGTTATTGGGGGGGGGATACGGTATCTGTAGCCTATCGATAGGCAAGAGTACCGGTAGGTGGTTGGGTTGCATACGGTACTCTACGGCAACTACCGGTATATGGCGATTTTCTTGTTTGCTCCCATTTCCTCTTTTTTTCTCTTTTTCGCTATGATAATATTATGATACAATACGACGCAACCTGATATCGGCGTGGAGGACTGGTGTTTGGCGGCTGTCTCGGCTTCTTCTGTGAAACGGTGGCAATCCGGGCNGGTATTATGGGTGGAGGGTGGTGATGATGAACGGAGCGGGATACAGTGCCGTACTGTACCTATCATTCTGTCTGCCATTGAGATGGGTTGGAGAGTGTTATGATGAAATGGCAATAATGGATGATCCATCCCGGGATGATGATAACACTAGGTATGGAAGGAATTGTTTGTTACTCGTAGGAGTAAAATGGGGTTGAAGGTGAAAGAAGGTACCAAATGATTCTGTATGGCTCGTCCTGCCACATCGCCCACGTCGTAGTGTATGAACCTTGTATCATACTCGAGTGCAGTACTCAGGTATCATTGGAGCTTCCGTTCATTCCCCTCCCCCCTTTTTTAATCTTCGAGACAACCGGTGTAGAGGGATATACACTCGTGCCATCCAGACCCTATACTCAAGTGTCATATAACGCCAACGGCCTTACTATAATGACGACTGCACATGGAATTGGTCAAACATACTGGTGCATTTATCATATTTCACCTCCTCCCACCCCCGCTTCCAATGAAGCGTATACATTCCGCTACAAGCATCACAGAAGAGGGATCGATGGATGGATAGATAGATACTGCGCCCGAGCACAGTCAGGTAAATGCGGGTGGACCGAGCATCCATCCCATCAAGTCGATTTCTCAAACCATTGGCACTCGTCGATAGAAATGTATGCGTTGGGAGATGGCGGGTGGCAGGTGGTGCCTGTGCGATAGGCGAACGGTAAACACCGTAGCCTCTCGAACCATGTTGGCGAGCTATATAGTATATACCAATAACTCGGTCGAAGGGTTGGGTACCGTATATAGTACTGTATAAACAACTGTCCCCCTCCTCCCTTTCCCGTTGAAAAGTGTAGAAATCCACGGTTTCGATTGGGCCGACAAGCTCCCGCGATAATTGTGATGATAACATTCGCACTTTTACCACAGCTACCGCCTCCGGGCCGTTGCCCTTGGGAGGGGTTCGGTTGGTGAAAACAAAAGTACACTGATCGGGGCTGTTTCGTCCTATTCGTCCGAGTTGAATGGAAGGAATCTAGTGTTCGTGGCACTATCATACGTGAATACCGGTATGATAAAACTCGAATTGTGATTCTCCTCTCTCTCTCTCATTTGCCAAGGAGGAAGAGAAGAAGAAAGATAAAGAAAAAAGAAAAAGAAAAAGCCGTATCGACATTCCAGTACCGGTGAGGATATCACGCGGTCCCCTAGGCTACAAATCTCCCAACCTCCAATCTCACTCGTTCCTTAAGGCTCCGGCACGGTGATAACTCTGCGCGAATTCGGAGTATGGTGCAAGGTTTGCCCGAGCCTTGTTGTATTTTCGCGTATTTTGGTACGGTAATGTCACACACCACCACAACGTGCTCTGGGGGAGGGGGGAGGGAGGTTGCCAAGTGATTGCCTAGTGGCCGAGTACCGGTATGATACCGGTGCTGTATGTGAGACTTTGTAAGAGTCGGGTGCGAGTGGGATATCTTATGGGGTTGATTGATTTCTCTACTTTTCTACGCCCGCGGGTGGTGTGCTATACGTGAAATGTTACCATAGCGGTTGTTGGTTTTTATGATGGGTGAGTGTCAAGCGTCGACAGGGGAATTTCCACAATCCCTGAGTTCCCGCAGTAATATACTGTACCGGTACTGTGCTAAACAATGTGCTCATTCATCGGTTTTAAGTGCATAGCGAAATTTAGAGAATTTGCATCAGAGGATCATTATCGTCGCCATTAAGTAACAAACCCCCAGAACTATATTGACTAAGCATACAGGGTTTCGCAATCAACAAAATTATTAAATTAGGAAAAGCCCCCCCCCCATTCTGAAAAACTCATCGAACGGATCAATCGTATTGTCAAAGATATAAAAACCACGATAGGGGCTATGAAGAATCCGACGCACAAAGACCTTCATAGCATCTTTCACTCTTATTTGTGTATGCTTCCCGTAAGACATAACTTACCCTGACCTCGTACACTAGTTAGATGAATGAACGTACAAACCCCCAATACCCATCGAAATATGAAAAGAACGACATGAAATCGTAAACATTAAAGCTCCTCCAACGCTCCCTGCTTAAGCCATCGCAGCGAGAACTGCGGCTGCGGCTGCAGCAACAATACCGGCAAGACCGGGTCTGTTGATCGAACCAGCGCCAGGGAAGATGGGAGCGGAGGAGCTGGGCGCACGGGTGGTAACAACGGGAGCAGAGGTGTTTGACGGCGGTGTCACGACAGCAGGGGGCTTGGTGGTTGGTGGTGGTGGTGGTGGTGGGGGAGGGGTATATGTAGTTCCTGGTGGTGCGGGAACATATGTGGTAGTTGGCTTTGGCGGGTGAGGAGGGTAAGTGGTTCCTGGGGGAGGGGTATATGTAGTTCCTGGTGGTGCGGGAACATATGTGGTAGTTGGCTTTGGCGGGTGAGGAGGGTAAGTGGTTCCTGGGGGAGGGGTATATGTAGTTCCTGGTGGTGGGGGAACATATGTGGTGGGTGGGAGTGGTATGGGGTGGGTATAAGTGGTCCCAGGGATGGTATATGTCTTGGTGTAGTAACTGGTTGTCGCATTGCAGATCGCGCAAGGCTTGGTGATGACATATGTCGTTGTGGCAGTAATGGTAGGCGGGTACACAGTAGTAACCACCGGCGGAGGGATTTTAGTCGTGGTCACAGGTGGCAATGTGACTGTAGGTGGGCAGGAGGTAGTCGTTGTAACCACGGTCTTGGTAAGAGTTGATGTCAGTGAGATGGTGGAAGTGTACGAAGTCGTTCCAGTTGTACAAATCGTAGTAACAGGAATGCAAGTGGTGATGGTGATAAGGCTTGTAATTGCCTTTGTGGTTGTCTTTGGCGGGTGCTCAATAGTAGTGTTCCAAGTTGGCGGTGGCTTGTGGGTCGTGGGTGAATACTGAGGAGTGGACACCGGGGGAGGGGGGTGAGGCTTTATTGTAGGATAAACAGGAGTCGTGGTCGTGAGGCGTGTAGGAGGAGGAGGAGGAGGGTAGGGATGCTTCGTAGTAGTATTGTGCTGAGGCCCCGCCCATCCCCATCTCTTATCCAGCTTCACGAATTGCCCAGGAGCCTTAACAAGGTCTCCTTCGCCGGCAGCGCCGAGTGCTCCTGCAACAAGTGCAAACAAGGATAAGATACGAACGGAGTTAACCATTTTCGCTTCAATTTAGACCTTGTTTTGGAGCTCCTTTCTCTTTCTTACTTCCGAGCGATTTTCAAAGGAAAGGTAATTGACTTGTCAAGCGAACGGTGCAAGTCAACTAACCCGAACTGAACGTAACGAAAGGTAATAATAAATGGCAAACAAAGCGAATGTCTTTTGGAATGAAGGACGCTTGACGGCTAGCGAAAGTAACCCGGGGAAGGGTGAAGAAGGGATGGAAGAGAAAGGTCAAAGGGAACTACATACTATAAGGCAGGCAGGCATTTATAAGGTATCCCCACCACCCAGACCTTGTTTTCCAGATAAACAAAACAATCAATGGATGAGCGGGGACAATGAGCCCGAGAAGCTTCCGAACTCCTAATCAGGGAGAGGGGATATTTGCTGGTCTGATGTGGTAGCTAACGGAGTCTGGGTGCGTGGTACGGGCACTCGTATGGTACTGCTGGTAGTGCGG